GTCTTATACAGGACAACTACAACTATGTTAAAGTTCTGGTGTCACATTGATAGAACAGCTCGACAAGAGAATCTAACACAATGCACAAGAAGTCTTATTACAGAAGAACAAGGAAAGTACAGTATGGTGAAGTTCCGGTGCCACTATGATAGCTCAAGTCTTATACAGGAGAACAAAGTACTGTTAAAGTTCCGGTGCCGGTATGATAGCACAGCTCTACAAGAGAATCTAAAACAATACTCAAGTCTTATACAGAAGAACAAAGAAACATGAAGTTCCTGTGTGAAATTAATCGGAAAGCTAGGAAAGGGAACAATGCTAAAGTCTTATTACAAAAGAACAAAGTAACATGAAGTTCCGGTGCCACTATGATAGTTTAGCTAGACAAGAGAATCTATATATTATAAAACAATGCTCAAGTCTTATAACAGAAGAACAAAGTAACATGAAGTTCCTGTGCCACTATGATACCAGCTGACCTGCCTTGTCTGCCAGAGATGGTTACTGGTGTGTTAATCGCTGCTGACAACAGTTTGGCACATATCGAGGACAGGATGGAGAGAGCAGGCCGTCTGCCATCAAGTCAACTTCCTCCCAACTCCTTAAACTATGGCAACTTTCATGTGAGGGGCAGCAGCTATTTGAACAGGTGGAGAGTGTTACGCCCAAGTTAACCCCAAGCCTTAGCAGACTTCAGCAGATGTGTAACTTTCTCAGAGTGACTGTTATTACCATGATTTTCATGCTGATGGACTTGACATTTGGGTCTGTTGGTCTTTTTTCAGCTTCTTAAAGTTAAACCTTTTCTTGCTAATGTCTAGAATCAACAATATACATTGTAACTCTGTGTGGACAAGCAGGGAATAGGCTGTATGTTTCTGAAATTATAAGCTATTACAATCAATGGTTTTCATGCTGATGGAGACTTATCATTTGGGCCTGTTCATAGTTAAACCTTAATGATTTCCTTAACGATGTCTACACAATACAACTTTGAATGTGTGGACAGTCTGGCAATAGACTGTATGTCTCTGACACACAATGATGGTACAGGGATTTGTTGTTTGGGCTGCCTGTTCGTAGTTTTGTTTTCATAGTTTTGCTGATGTTAACAATTATACAACTTTCAGTGCAGGGACAAAGAACGATGTACGTAAAGCTTTGGGTTTACTGTCATGAAACTTGGTGTAGGTGTAGGTGAGTACAATGAGACCTAGAAATGATAATTAGATTATGGACCCCCTGGTGGCTTGTTATGGTACTGCAGAGGTACTTCTAGTTTCGATACCTTGTGATATGGAAATGCTATATGTAGCTAGGTGTGAAAGCCTTTGGCAAAGGACAACCATTTTGTTTATTACATTCGTTAGTTGATGCTGAAAACATCCACATGACTGTACCTAAACATTTGTGTCCTGTAAAACCCAGCTTTTGACAGGTTTCCTCTGATGAGAGAAAAAATTACTGTGCAACATCGTTAGAGTTCAGGGACCCGTAACAACCTTGCCTTGACCTTGAGATATGGAAGTAATTACAGTGGACACTTTTGACCTTGCCTCAGGATATATAGTGTAATGATTAACCCGGGTAATGTCATGTCAATGTAAACATTCATTTGGGTGCATTCTGAACAAAGATGTGAGTTAGGACAGCAATTTTTAAAAATAAATATTTCAGATGGGGATTTTACACGCAATTTGTCTCTCTCTTGAGTCTTTGAGCTATCATCAAATATAATGAGGGCTCTTTATTCTTTGTATGATAATTCAAGCACAAGTGCTTAAGCTTATAAGGAACAAACTTTCAAATACGATTTAAAGCAGTGTATAAAAAAAGGTTTGTATCATCAAATACAGTCAAGGCATTCGTATTCTTTGTCAGATAATTTAAAGCATCAGTACCCAAGAAACAAAGCCATTTAAACTCAGGTATTTGAAAGCTTTGTATGATTTACAAACAGTCTTTACAAAGTGATTTACTAGTACATGTAGTAATCCCAAACCCTGATTGGGCCTCTTTTATCAAACTATTTGAGCAAACAACACTCCACAGGCATGGGCTTGTTCCGACAGGCTGTCAGGCTGATGTGACAAGGCTAGCACATAGAGATTTGCTGTGTCGGTATAAGGACAGCTAGCAATTGTCAATCACACTAGTACTGTTGTAGTGACTGACTCAGACACCTAAGGCTTAATGCATGGTAAAAGTCTTAACACACACACACGAAAACTGTTGTGATCTTCATGTAGACAACAGAATTAAAGAAAGACAGAGAAAATTAGGCTAGAATGTATGTAAGTTAAGGACACTTAACATTTTTGTCATGTTCGAGGTTCCCCAGACATTTATAGGACCACAAAGCATGCCTGTTATTTTGCAACACTTGTTTGAGGATCTGCGCATGCATTGCTTAAACATTTCAATGCTCTACTTGATTGATTTTGCTTTACTAGCTCACTACAATCCATCTTTCACTTTTAGTGATTAAATGGCCACTAACTCATCCAGTTGCTAACTGCACTTGCTGAGAATGTTGATTCCAGACATCACATTTCAAATATTCGTTCAGAAGTGAAGCAGCCATTTGAAAGGCTAACTTGTTATCAAAGACATAACAAGAGATCAACTTTGCTGTGCGTGTGACTTTTTCAGTAACCGTAGTCGGTGACTCCCTACAACGTAGTACAAGTGTGTAAGCTTCCATTGTACAGTAGCCAACATGACATTTACATGAATTAGATGGAGATGTTCCCAAGTACCATACTCTAAACAGTCACAAGTGAGCTTCATCCTGGTAAGACCACAATCCTTTCACTACAGAGAAGCGAAAGAATTTAGATCCTCCAAAAATGCTGTAAGTGCTTCTGGTGACAATAAGTGAAAACAACAAAGCTATTCTTTTGTTGTAGATGGTAGCCAACTCCTACAGAATAGGTTGCAGTCTAGCTACTCCTTAGAAAATGATTCCCCAGACTTTTCTTTTTTGCAACACTAAATGACGACATTTATGTTTTGTCAGGATTTTCCAATTTACTTAGAAAGGATTCCAGGCAGGACACACAAAGTCTTCCACCAGATTATAGAAACAACATAAAGTTTATGTCTGCTGTGATGAGATTCTCAGTCAACGTGCCAGTGCTGATCAAAGCACTCACCTGGCAAGTGTGCGGATTAAAAAAAGGATGTCTTCCAGACTAATACGTAACACTCACTGCTTAAAAATGCTTAATCTTTTCCAGAAAGAGAATGTGAACTTGAAGCATGTTTCAAGGTCTTAATTGCAGATGACAGCCTGGTTGCTAAAATAGTTTTGGTAACCAGGCTAGATACTAGTTAATCTCCAAGCAGAGGCTAGGGTGACAAAAAGAGAGGGTCCAATTTGCCACCCAGGGTTGGTGGGGGTAGCGACAAAAAAAAGGGCCATATATAAAATTTTAAAGGTTCCCTCATCAACTTCTGCTTGGAGAGTACATGTAGATGCTAGTAACAGCTATTATAATTAGTTTCCTTTCATGTGAAATTGCTCCATTCCAGAATATACATGTAGGTTGTATTGCTCAAGCCCAGGTTAGGTTGCTCTGTTCCAACACTGAAATGTGGGGAATTCTAATTGTTTATTTGAAGTGAAAAGTGGGAGGTCAAAAACAAACATCGGACACTCACAACCTTGTAAACACACACCAGGAAAACCAGCTCCAACACCTGGTGGAATTCTTTCACAGTTGGCTACAGGTACAAATGTCCTCCTGGTTTGTTTGGGTGTCAGGTAGCCATAGGAATTATCTATTTTCTGTGTAAACCTAAGTATAAGAGCTTGGGTTGGTCTTACTTCCGTTTCCTGTAAGGGATGAACTACAAGCAGCTATCAGGCAGTACCATGGCAGCACAGCTATACTCTTTGTAAATGCAGGTATCTTCTAGCCTTATGGTTTACCAAACCTACATGTGTTTAATTAGCTGCTGAGTCTCTTTCATCCTCTACTTTTACTTGGCAGTTAAAACAGGTTTGATAACTGAGGCTGCATGTAGTTACCTTGAAAATTTGCGAAAATAAAAACACTGCGAAAGTTTCTGCATTTATACAGCAGTAATCTGTGGCATCAATATCAGAATTCTTAACATACAAAATGCAAAGCTAACCAAGTGTGGTGAGATAAAACCCTGACAGTAATGGTGCCAATTAGTGCATGCCAGTTGTGGCTGTTGACCTGGATCTCAGGTCCCACCAGGCTGCAGAGAGAATCTGTCCACAGGTGTCAGGTGGAACTTACACACCTGCTGTATGTGGTCATCACAGCTGTCTTAGTGGTATCAATACACCTGTCAGGACCTTTCTAAGGAAGGAACTACAAGATGGCACTTTCTTGGTAGACCACACTTGTACATGTAGTGTTCCTACATGTATGTCCCAGGCTGCAGAGAGAATCTGTCTACAGGTGTCAAGTGAAACGTACACACCTGCTGTGGTCGTCACAGCTGTCTTAGTGATACACCTGTTAGTACCTTTCAAAGGAAGGAAATACAAGATCTGTATCTATATCGGTATAGCCGGTATAACCGCCCTTCGGCATAACACACCAGCTTTGCAGGCACGCGGCGTGGCGGCAGCTAGCTATATCACACCGAACGACTTGTTACACTCAATCTTTGCACATTTGATTGCAGGAGTTGTATAAAGCTTTCTAGTGATGATGCCCCAACTGTGCTTGGTGGCAACGAGTTCCAGTCTACGATAGTTCCAGGGAAATACGAGTTTTTGAATACCTCAATTCTTGGTTGATAACTCTGATATTTGAAGGAATGACTGTTTCTTGTTCTTTTCTGGGCTGGTATCAGATACTTAGTGGTTGGTACGTCCAACAGTTTATTAGTCACGCCAAAAAGTAGTTCATGCCCGTAGCCAGGGGGGGTTCGGGGGCTTCGTGATCAAGCCCATTTTCCTCAGAATGTGAAATTTGGCAACCATGAAGACAAAGTGAGTTATAGTATTTGTGGGTTACCTTGGTCTCCTGAAGATATGTCCATACTTCTGACAGGCCAGCCCTACAGTCGGAGTGTACACAATCGGCATGAACTGTTCCAGGTCATCCTGCAACACTCGGTAGAAAAGCTTCTCATTCCGGTCCTGCAAAGCCGTCAGGAACACGTATCTGTTGGAGGAACAAATAATCCATAACATATTGTTACCTTTGGGTATGGAAGTATTGTTTTGGGTGGCTGTGGGTTTGTGTGTCTGTTTGTCCTGACAGAGTGGTTGATATAACTCATTCTGGTCCTACAAAGCCGTCATATCTGTGGAAAAACAATTTGTATTGTTACTTCCAGGTATGGAAGTATTGTTTTGGGTGGCCGAGCTGTGGGTTTGTGTATCTGTTTGTCCTGACAGAGTAAGTTGATCCAATCTTGCAATGCTGTCAGGAACATGTATCTGTGGGAGGAAAAAACGATTGTTTGTTTGCTTAAAGTTAAAACTTTTGTTTCTACACAAAGAATGTTTCTCACCTAAAGCTTTGACCAGTCACAGATTTTCTTCAATAGACTGACCCAGTGAGACTTAACGTGGCTTCAACACTGGGTCAAAGGTTACCGGATACCTTTGACCCAGTGTTGATGTCACACTTGGCAATCACTAATTGGCACCATTAAATGTTTTTAACTTTAAACATGTGCCGGTAACTACCAACACAGATGAACTTTCATGATGTTCGTTTGCCGCAAGTTGTTTTATCAAATTTAATACTTCCTGGAGTCTGAAGGGGTGATGATGTAAATCACTGTGTGGCTAATACAAGATGGGGGTCTGCCATGCATATTTCTCCAAAAGCTCACAAAAACATAAACCCACCTGTCCAGGTCAGTATGCTGGCGTTTGTAGTTCTCCCTCACTCTGAAGGCCTGGAGGTCCTGAGTCAGAAAGGACGGGGGCAGTAACCCATGGATCCCCAGGTGTTGTCTCTCCTCTAACGTAAACGCCATGCCCTGGAAATACACAAAAACAAGGTCATTATCATCACCATCATTAGTATCATCATTATCACTGATATCATCATTCATTATCATCATCATCATCTTCATCTTTTGGTAACCCATGGATCCCCAGGTGTTGTCTCTCCTCTAACGTAAACGCTATGCCCTGGACAGAGGAACAATGTGCAGTGATTATCATCATTATCATTCATTATCATCATTGTTGGTCCCCCTCATTACAAGGTGTGTAGAAGACAGTGGCAGTAACCCATGGATACCCAGGTGTTGTCTCTCTTCTAATGTAAACGCCATGCCCTGGTCAGACAGAGGAACAATGTGCTGTGAACATCATCATTATTGTAACAGTGGGGGGTTCATAGGCACCAACAACTAACCCGGCTGATGGGTCTAGACCTTTTAGCCGAGTGGTTAGAGCATCGGCATGTGGCCTGGTGGGTCGTGGGTTCGAACCCCGGCCCGGGACCAGGGGTTTTTATCTGTTTCTACTTGCTCCTCCTGTTTCTTAAATTATCTTTCATTATCATCATCATTGGTCCCCATCATTACAAGGTGTGTAGAAGACAAGGTGTGTAGTGGCAAATTAATAGAAAACTTCAAATCAGCCTCCATCAGATTAGTAGTCTTGCAGGTATTTCTATAGGTCTCCTGGGTGGCCAGCTTAGACAAATTTGACTGCACTGTATCTGTGTATTTCTTTGTGACCTAGAACTTTCAGGGGAAGGTAAACTAGACCAATTCACTGTGATAAGAGATAGAAGAAACATGCTTGAATTTCCGTCCCAGAAAATCAGCCCGATATATACAGATGTCAAGGGAGGCCTTATACCACCTAAACCTTCATAACATCACACATGCATGTAGGACAGGGTCAAATGGCGGGCTACAATCAAGCTTCAGCATCAGTGTGCAAGCAAGTCTAATGCTCAGAGCACGGGGAACAACAATTAACAAATGCTCAACCGGATAGATCTAGAGTGAGTGAGTGTGTGAGTGAGTGAGTGAGCGAGTGAGTGTGAGTGACTCGTGAGTGAGTGACTCGTGAGTGAGTGAGTGACTCGTGAGTGAGTCAGTGAGTGAGTGAGTGAGTCAGTCAGTCAGTGAGTGAGTGATTGAGTCAGTGCGTGAGTGAGTGAGTAAGTCAGTTAGTGAGTGAGTGAGTCAGTCAGTCAATCAGTCAGTGAGTGAGTGAGTGAGTGAGTGAGTGAGTGAGTCAGTCAGTCAGTCAGTCAGTCAGTCAGTGAGTGAGTGAGTGAGTCAGTCAGTCAGTCAGTCAGTCAGTCACTCACTCACACACTCAGTCACTCAGTCAGTCAGTAGTCAGCTACTGTATGTCCATTTAGACTAGACTTTAAGACTATAAATACTGCAGGAATAAGTGGGGCATGTGTGAGTCCTGGGCTGCCCTGCCCTGGTATGTAAGGGTCAGGCATGTATCATCCTACACACCTTTCTATAGACAGAAGGAGGGCAACCTTCCTCACTTTTTGGGACGTATCAAAACATCTCTTGTAAGTTGTAGACTCTACTGACATTTTTTATTGGTTGAATATTCTATTTTCATATTATATAAAAAAGTTCATTGTATTATAAATGTTTTATTTTTCTGTTATTAGCATATAATTTTATGATTTCAGACATCACTAATATCTGTTAAGAATGTTGTTAAAAATGTTTAAAATGTAGGTCTAGGGCAAGTCTACCCTGATTGATTGTTGGCACAAAAAATACTCTTTCAATCCACACTTAGCCAACAGAGGTCTTGCCCCACACAGTTTGTTACTATAAATAAAAGCGATAAAATCTAATTAAAAATCTTGTGTGAGCGAAAGTCTGGCACATAACACTGTAACCAAACTGGCTGGAAACATCTGTGGGCAAAGTTTCCTGTCATAAATTGCCTCAAAGCTGGCAGATTTCCGATTAAACTCAAGGAACAACAGACTTTCCTCATCATTCCAAATGTACACCTACCAAAAGATCGTTAGGGTCAGACATGTTCGTTAAGAGGACTTATTAACCACCAGAAAAGAAGGGTTTGCCACCTTGTAATGACAACTCGGGAGTGAAAAATATGATAGTGCTCTTTGGGTGAGACAGTCCTGTCACCCTTCATGGCCACTGAGCACCATGAGAACTGGAGTAAAGTGTGGGGAAACATATGATCAGGCCCATTTTGTGGCATTGGGAGGACTATAAACCGGACAACCAGAGAGAGAAACCAGACAGTAACTCTAGACTTTTACTACTCTTTTTGATATTAACTTGAACTTTAAGTTTATATCAAGTAATTTACAAATTGATATTAAAATGTTCTGCCTAGGAACTCATGATCATGTTAATGGTCTGGATACAGTTACATTGTAACTTGAAGTTAGCCATTGACTCCTTATAATATTTAAGTAAGAGATTTCATTGGTTGAATTGTTCTGAGCCAAATCTGATTGGTCATCAGTTGTCCTCTGCTCCCCACTGATAACAACCATCTTTCCAATCATCATTTGATACTTTGATGTCCCACCTGTGCAGTCACTCTGATAAGTCTACCATCAAAATATATAAAAGTGATGTCCCCTATATGACAGTAAAGTGGAACAGTCCATCAGTCTCACCTTTGCTAAGTAACTGGTAATACAGACCAGACCGGTCCACTTACCACTTGATAAAGGTAATGAGGGGTGTTTAACTATCAAAGTAACTTAAATGAACTGAACTATCTACCATGACAACAAGATTATGATAAGGGTGTGGAAGGCATCAGAAGACAATTTCCTGTCGACACCTACATTCTTAAATGTTTCCACATTTTTCTTGCATACCTACTCTAACTGCTGCATAAAATATAATTTTCCAAAGGTCATACTAATTTAAAATAGTTTGCCAAATCAACATCACATGGAAGAACAAGAACACAAAGTCCAAGAAAACTGTATTCAAAAGTTCAATGAGACTTGAATTGTTAAAAATCAAGTTGCAATTTTTTTCTTACCTTGGTGATCAGATACGTCTGAAGCTCTTTTTTTCTTGATACACTTTTATAATCATATCTGCCATCAGCTCGTATAATTACATTGTCGTATTTTGATATAGGGCCATCAGTATGTTTTCCCAGGAATTAAACAAGTTACTGAATTTGCATGGCCTTACTACTGGAGTATATAATCATGTATATCATCAAAACTATATGCCAGTCATCTCAGCAAAATGTAAGACAGATGTGTCAGTATGAAAAGGCTAAATACCAAATTGAAAGTAAACCCATACTTTGGACACTTTTTATAAACTTAAGCCATCAGATTGGGATAGACTTAACCAGCTTTAGGGCAAAAATCAAAAATTTACTACAGATGTATAAAGTTGTTGACAGAAACACACAAAAAGATGCTCGCTATTTCGATGATTTACCTCCTTCCCCATCAGCCCTATGTGTGCACATGTGGGAGCATTCCCCACATTTCTGCCCAGCCTTTTCTGCCACTGATTTACAACTACTAAAGCCCTTCCTCCTGCTTCTCCCCATAAAACCTCATTGTGACCAATTTTCTGTCAAAACTCAGGCCTACCCCCCACCCCTTCTCCTAGCCTCCACCAGACTTCTTTGCAGGCTTAACAAATACTAGAAATCGGCCCAAAACAAATGTAGTTGGCCAGAGGAGTTGGCCAGACATAGACATGATAGAAGGTCTGAATTGCCTGCATAGAGTTGGCCAACTCCCATGGCCAGATACATTCTTTTTAGGCCGATTTCTACTATTTATTCAACCTGCAAAGGAGTCTGTTGGAGACTACCCTCTCCCCCTTCTTTCACTCAGACCTGCTTCCAATTTCTGGCCCTCTGTGTCGCCATAGCAACAGAACAACCAATCAGGATTAAGCTGTCAGTGGACTACAGCAAGTAAATGTGGTGGGAGTTATAGAGACTCAGATCAGTTACAGATGTACTAGGTTAGGACTAGGAGGAGGGTTGAAGGGTTGGCTTGGCAGCGATTTTTGTGACCCAAAGCTTGGCTGTTTAGGGTTCCCTGTGCCTTGATCTGTGACCGGAGGACAAGCAACGATCTTGTAAAGTGTCAATCCACCCTAGGCAGACTTTCACAAGTAAGTGTAAGTTCCTCACTCTTCACATGGGCAGAGTGCCACATGGTGGCAGGGTGGTAGCTCCATGTTGGACAAGTGTTATACCACACCTCATTGTTTCTAAAGCGTAACATTTTCTTGTCACACTGTTGCTGGTGTATGAAATTGCCAATGTTACGGATCTGTAATGCTGTGGCCTTCCTCCATTTGTAACCATCAACAGTTAGTATATAGTGTAAGGAAATTATGTTTAGATCAAGGACTAACTCACAGGGGGTCGGTCTTGTAGGCAAACATGTCAGTCAGCTCAAGCCTCTGTCAGTCATGTTGGCATGTTGCCTTTTTGAGCTGGATACAGAAGTTGTCACTGTCCTGTAGCAATTTGTTACAGTTGTGGCCACTGGATCCATCTTCTTCAGGGTAGATGTGACTGACATTTCCTTGGCACATGCAGGGACACACATACACATGTACAGTACTGCTACTGGTTCTGTGTAAGCTGTTCTGAAGCCATCAATGTTTTAAAGTGCTGTTACCTTTACCTTGATCTGACAATTGCAAATCATTCAAGATACCTTGGTAAATCTGTTGCACTGTTAAATCACACTTGATGCTTCGGTGAAGAGGATATAGCTGTGCCACCTTGGCAATGATACTAGACATGATGTACCATTTTATGGGTGTTCACAATTAAGCTGAATTATCAGTAATGCTTGAGTTGTAACAATTAAGAGTCTTTTTACCAGTATACTTGTAATTTTTGTATTGACTCTTTTTCTACCTGTTTTACTTTAGATGCTATGTTGGTTCTTGTCAGGCCAAATGATATTTTTTCCCTGGCCCTAAATCTCTGCCTTTAGATATTTATTTTGATGTTATAAAATCAAAACAACCTATTTGATCTGTAAAAAAAGTCTAGTACATGCTCCCAATATACCCATCCCTGATGAAGATAGTTCCAGTACAGTGAACCCATGTTCTAGAGTTCAGCAGTAGGGTGTGGCTGCTCTGTGCCCACTGGGTGGTGTGAAGCATCAGTGACAGGTGGTACAATCTGGGGAGGTGGGCTGGAGTATCGGGGGCCAAGTGTTGCAAAATTACACATATACATAAACGGTTTTTCTCTCCCACACAACACTGGTAAAAATGTCTCACACAACAGAAATTTTTCTCTCCCACACAACACTGGTAAAAAGGTCTCACACATACATAATTTTTCTCTCCCACACAACACTGGTAAAAAGGATCACACATACAGAAATTTTTCTCTCCCACACAACACTGGTAAAAAGGATCACACATACGTGGATATATTTCTTCCGCACACAGAGGACTTTTTAATGTAACATGCTGATAAAAGCATACTTCGTCGTGTTAGCGTACGACCTATGATATTGATGTTATGACAATGATAACACATGAGCCCCTTTCCATTAGCCTCCTTTGCAGGCGTGCATCGGCAGGGTGCAATGGCGTTGTTGTGGGAAGTGATGAGGAGGGCGCTTTTGTATGTTTGGAGATGAGTACTACTGTAGAATGGATAGTCACGGATCTACAAACCTTCTCTGTCACACACAAAAAAAATCACATGTCTACATGACAATCTCCAACAATTACATACACTGAACTAAAACTATTACAGGAATATTCACACAGAGCAAAATTCACACCCCGTAATCACCAACAAAATTCCCTTTAATACAGCCACACATGCTATATTTCACCCTGACACAAGTCTCCCCCATAGGCCACGGACGTTATCATGAATGATGTATTTTATCCGACACACAACGCTGGATTTTTCTCTCACACACAGCAAAGATTTCTCTCTCACTCAGGGAGCCCCTTTCAGTCAGCGCTCTGAGTGAGCGATTTTTACTCTGTGTGTGAGAGAGAAACTCTGTCTATGTGAGAGCGATTTCTACTTCAAGTTTTAGACGAGAAGCTAGTTTGTGATGTTATAACTTCAATATTCATACACATATCAAGGCGTTTAGGAACTTACTTTAGTGAGCGAAAAATTAATTCACATGCATAGACGTTGTCTTAAATGATGTATTTCATCCGACACCCAACGCTGGATTTGGCTCACACACAGCAAAGATTTCTCTCTCACTCAGGGAGCCCCTTTCAGTCAGCGCTCTGAGTGAGCGATTTTTACTCTGTGTGTGAGAGAGAAACTCTGTCTGTGAGAGCGATTTCTACTTCAAGCTTTAGAAGATAAACTAACTTGTGATGTTATAACATCAATATTCATACACATATCAAGGCGGTTTAGAACTTACTTTAGTGAGCGATAAATTAATTCACATGCATGATTATTTTATCCGACACACAACGCTGGATTTTTCTCTCTCACACACAGCAAAGATTTCTCTCTCACTCAGGGAGCCCCTTTCAGTCAGCGCTCTGAGTGAGCGATTTTTCCTCTGTGTGGGAGAAACTCGTGTCGTTATAACTTCAATATTCATACACATATCAAGGCGGTTTAGAACTTACTTTTTACTCCCTCGTGAATTAATTCAAGTGCATAGATTTCTCTCTGACTCAGGGGGCCCCTTTCAGTCAGCATTCTGAGTCATAGCGATTTTTGCGAAGGTATGAGATCGTGGAACTCTAGTTTGAATATCATGCAAAGTATTTAAGTATGACTGAGAAAACAACATAACACACTGTCACAAAGCGCAAAAAAATCGTTTTTAAATCTATAAATTCGTTGAGCGGTCTGTAAATATCTGATATCTTAAATCGCAGAGAGCCGTCATAGTGGAATGGGCATGTATAAAGAGACTCTTTTTTCACAACTAGGTGTTTTTGTCACTAGGAACAGGGCAAACGCATGAACTTATACTCATTTTTCACCTGAGCTAAGCGAGGAAAGTCGTGTAAATGGACCGTTCCAAGCTGTCAATCAAAAATCGTTATTTGACCGATAAGAGAGCTGGACGCGATCACGTGACTACGGGAAGGCGTTTCCGCCATTTGTACGTCAAACTTTGTGCAGCCGTGGTCACCCGACATGGTGAAAATTTGCTGTTACGGGACGTGTAACTCCGACACCAGGTATCCAGATCGTGTGCCTGGTGTCCGGTTCTTCCCGTTTCACAAGCCCAAAACGAGGATGGACGACTGTCTGCGCTGGATTAGGGCTTACGCCCACTCAGCTCAACCATAATAAAAAAAATCACCAAACACTCCCGGGAGTACGTACGTCTTCTCCAAGGTGAGACAAAAATCACTTACTCGGGGGGTTACAGAAGAAAATACATTTTAAACAGGTCCTATCAAACTTCAGGATATTACGGTCGACTTGAAAAAATTACGCAAGTAGTGAAGTACGCAAGGAAATAACATTTAAACAGGCACCTACATGTAGTATGATGTACCATAACAAATTTCCTACACTGTTTTTTTACGGAGAAGCAGTGGGAGGGGGGCACGTATATACGCATGTTTTTGGTATCTGATCAATAGAAAATAAATGTAGCTGATGAATTTCTTGAAGTACAGAGCCTAACAGTTAGTTCCATTTTTGTACTGAATTATCCATTTTCGACTTCTGACACACATGAAGTAACCTGGACCATAGGACCTGATTTTTGCACTCATCGCCTAACAGCACTTAGAACCCGGCCATCTTTCCTCAGCCAATCAGGAGCCAGAATTTAGGGTGTCCCAAGGGGTAGAGGGGTACTAACCAACCCCCATAAATCAGACTAACCCAGAGACGCCCACATTTCACATGGTCCTAACCAGGATGAAGGGATTAGGAATCAGTCACACATCACAACAAGACCATCATCTGGTTTCTGCATTAACATTTAATGAAAACCATGAAAATGGTGTACACAAAATACTGGTAGCAGTGACAGTTCACTGAGAAAAAACAAACGAAAATAACAGTATATAAAAAACAGTACTTTAAAAAGGATCTTCACACCACTAGTGTGGACTACTGTTGCTGTAACTCTGGAAATTTGTATTCAGTTCAGTGGTGTGAAAATCTACTGATACCAGCCACAGGTCACTTTGAAATAAAACAAACAACCATAATGACGATATAAGAAAAACACAGAACATCGTCCCACTAAGGTGGTTTAGTCTTGAAACGAATGATTGTTTAGTACAACAGTGTAAAAATCTAAAAACAGCCACAGTTTACTGAAACTGGAACTTAAAAAAAAAACAAATATAAAGACGGTATGAAAAATAACACAGTTGGAACTTCACCCGTCAGAGTTCTCTGTTGCCTACACCTACTTTAAGAAACAACTACATGTACTTTCTTTGTTACTTTACTAAAAAATATAGACTAACTATTACAAGAAACGAATGATTGTTTACATTTTAGTACAACAGTGTAAAAATCTTAAAACAGCCACAGTTTACTCATGAAACTGAAACTTAAAAAAAAAACAAGTATATTTTTTAATGTACACGTGTAAAAGATGTCTCTTGTATGAGAACAATAGGGCAGACTTTTGCTAGAATTATTACTTGCTGTTTCAGTGTTTGGCATTATTAACGTGTACTGTGTTTGATTTGCCACATTTTATAATATGTCACAAATGCTCCCTATTTACACTGTGATCATTATCATGCCACTACATGTATTTTTTGCAAAGCAAAGTTTGAAAGGCAAACAAAGAAAGTGACATACCAGTACCGGTATTCAAGTTTTGAAACTGTTTGATTCAAAGATCATACGTAATGTTTCTGCGCCCATGCTAGAACAGTAACTGAATGGGCAAAGAACAGCGTCACACCAAAACACTTTGTTCAAAGCAATGAGAAAATGGTGTGGAAATTCATTTGAGGGATGTAGTCTTGTATTGGTTGTAGTACTTGCATTCGTATAGACTCGTTTTTAGGTTAAATTAGCTAGCCTAATGTTACTTAGAATGTTTTTTAAATTTGTTACTCCTTTAGCCTTTTTTTTTTATAACAGAACGTTACCATAAAAATACAAGGCAAAGCCTATCTAACAAAATGTTTTCTTATTTCAGCAAAAAGCAGATCAGACTGTCCCCTCCACCTACATGTGAGAAAAAGACTCCAGGTGCAAGCACAAGTGAGACAGATAAGGAAGATGGTAAGTGAAGCTAATTCTGTACTAGTATCTATACTATACTACTAGTATACTATACTAAATATGCAATGGCTGGTTATATTACACTGCAGGACTTGAAACATTTAAAACTTTAGACTTTTTTTATAACAAAATGTTACCATAAAAATACAAGGCAAAGCCTATCTAACAAAATGTTTCCTTATTTCAGCAAAAAGCAGATCAGACTGTCCCCTCCACCTACATGTGAGAAAAAGACTCCAGGTGCAAGCACAAGTGAGACAGATAAGGAAGATGGTAAGTGAAGCTAATTCTGTACTAGTATCTATACTATACTACTAGTATACTATACTAAATATGCAATGGCTGGTTATATTACACTGCAGGACTTGAAACATTTAAAACTGTCTACCTGTTCCAAATGGGTTCTTAACTCAACACCAATATCATGCTACATGTAAAATTTATCATTTTGATTACTCTAGATTACTCTAGATTAGGAATGTGTACCTAAACGTTGCATCAGGTACAGGTACATGTACAAAGGATCAGGTACAAATCCAGACCTGAAACTGTACCTAAACAATTTGACCAATTAACATATTCTTTGAACTCCTTCAACAATGGGATTTTTCTCTCACACACACAGCAAAGATTTCTCTCTTTTATACCCCACCCAGCAGGAAGCGGCACAGATCAATGTACACTGTACAGGGCTAAGTCCTCTTGCTCTTTCGGGTGACTTTGCTTGGAACTTCTTCAACTCGTTCATCTGTAGTTAAAGGTTAAAAATGGAGCAATAAGCAGTGACCCCAAAAGTACCAAAAAATCTGCTTTCTAGAAAAAAAAATGTGCATTTACAAATACTACGATGTAACTTGTACATGAAACACTTCATTCTGACAATAAACACTCTTATACCCTATCATCTACATGGGGCAACATTAAGAGTAAATAATGTTATGGGTTATAGAAACTTAAAACAATGCTTACCATCTTTGGGTAGTTCAGCAGTGAAGCTGGCAATGGCCGCCTCAATGTCCGTCATTGACACCTGAAAGGAAGTTATTTAGTAGATGATCATTTAAAAGTTGCTAACTGAAACTGAATCTACCTTGTCATATAGCTTAAATTATGGATATACAATTACTAAATTATAGACAATGTGTCATTATGTCCACAAGACATATTGAAAATAATACACATATATGTGCAGTCTGCAAAACCATATGCTATGAAAGGTACAATATCATGATCATAGATATGACATATCTAAACTTGAGCATCATAGGTCACCAACAAAGTTACTAATCAAGCTAACCAAAAACTTTCAAGACTGATCTGGCCAGTTAACAACCGTAATGTAGTTTAAGTTACTACTTTAGATACACATAATGCATCTCCAGTCATATCTTTATCATCTTTCACATGGTATATTTTATACATGAATATATATATTTCACAGGCATCTTGCCACTTACTGCTAGGCCAGTCCTGAGGGATGGCCGGAATCCTGGGACCATTGCCGGCCGCTCCACCTTTACTTTTTCCAGCACCTGGTTTACAACCCTGGCATTGTGCTGTTCCAAGTATCCTTTTGGAATCCTGTCAAGCTGGGTCAGGAGGGCCTCCCTCGTGCAGCCATCTGCAGTCACGTATTGTTGCTGCATCTTGGCCACCATGATGTCAGTCAGTTGCTACAAAGGTGGAGAAAAGGCTTGGGTTAAAAACAGCAGAGGAATGGCTAGCCTGTGAAACCTAAGCTCCGGGGGGCTCCCTACATAGTCCGCCACTAACTAGGACTAACTAGGGAGCCGGCGAAAAGCGAGGTTCAGTCAGGCTAAGGAATGGCTTGTTGCAGCCAAGTTGAAAGTTTGTCTGCTTATTGAAAATTTGTATGGAAGCCATAGCCGATGATATTAAACTAATTTGATATGCTGCCTATTTATTGGTTCTCATTGATAAAGAGGGCTGTATGATACATTCCATATATTAAGTTAACTTACCGTAACAATTTTCAAACTTACTTCAAGGGATAAGGGCGGGAATGTAACGATGTGTGGGAAGCGGCTGCGGAACCCTGGGTTCAGGTCGAAGACCTGCTCCTCAATCTCCTTTGCATACCCAGCCAGAATCAGGATAGGTGTTTTCTCTCGCGCTGTTAAGAGTAACATTATTTTAAGTAATACTCCATGATATAGAAGATTTTGAATTTAATCAAAAGACAATTTTTACCGGTGACAAGGTTTGCAAATTCTAAACCCTTAATTTTCCCTTACCAGTTTATCTACTATATTCCTTAAAAAGAAGTCATACTGAAAAAAAATTCAGAGACCTCATACCTGCATGAAAATCAGTAGAGCCATTTTAATTTTAATTTATTTATTTTTCTTCATCGGAAAATGTGATGATTACATGTACATACATGTAACCCATCCTACATGTATATGCATGTCCATGAAAAAATATACAAAACCCAGAAATTCTGCTGCATTATCAAGGATCTCCCTCCGGCCGTTATTTGTCCATTAAAAATCTCTATAAACAGAGAGTCAAGTGTTTGCTGGATAACAATTGGAGGATTAATTCTAATATGGGGAGTAAATATTGCTTTTTTGCTTCTCCTTGAAGTTACCATTGATAGCAAGGCATACAGTAAATCCACTGAGAGTTAAGGGACATATTTAAAAAAAAATATAAAGAAATGGAAATGCTTTAAGCATTACCTTCATATGCCCGGTTCATTATCGCTTCAAGGGCCTTCTTTGCGTCATGGCCGCCACTCCCGAGTTGGTAAATCTCATCCAGGAGGACGACTTGGCCCTTTGCAGCATCGAGCTGCTCGCGTACTCTCCTCTCCATTTTGTTGACATACTCTACAAAAACAATAATGACAAGGAAATTGCAGATCAAGGTCCCTGCCTCACTCAGCTCAATTTGATGATTGTGTACATCGAAACTATATCAGATAATTAGTAAATAGCATATTATCAGTACATTCAATGTGGGTTAGACATCCCGGTAAGTCCTGAACTCCCTCGGACCTGTTTCGGACAGTCTTTCGAACTAGTCTGAACTGGTTAAAGGGAGTTCCTTTTTACAGAGGAATTCCATTACCATCCTCAAAATCTCACCTAGTGTCACTATCAAAGGGTAGTTGACACCACCGTAATACAACAACATAGCATCCCTTGTACAGCTCTATACAGGGCAGCCAAACCAAGCCTTGAAGCCTTTTTTTTTCAACAAAATAAAAAAAACTCAAGCTGGAATCTAATATCAGCATTTATCCATAACAAGAATAAAACTGTTGGCAGTTGGTTTGGATGGTCTCAGGAAATGTAACCATATACACGTCAGAGCGGGACGTTAACCCTTTATTGGTAACAACATTACATGTAGCTTGCTTAAACTTTAGGTACTAACCACTAGAGAGGAGGTCCCTTCTTATGGTGACAAGATCCGGGCTCGTTACTATGCCAAACTGGTGCAGAAGCTCTGGAAAATGATTAAAAAATAATGCTTTATAGTACAGTATATTACAAAATATGCAGTAGATGGTTTGACTTTTTCTAAAGCTGAAACGTATCTAAACAACAAACATATTCTCTTGGCAACTGGTACTAGTAATATATGTTCATATTTGCTAAACTAATTAATCCTGACCAATATTGCAAGCTCATACTTGTCAAGTTAATGTCAGTGCGTCATTTGTCTTTTTTTCAAAGCTACTACATACATTTTACAGAGTCTATCAACAACTAATACACACTTGCAAATGCATCCCCCATGGTTGTTTTCCCTGTTCCAGGTTGACCAGCAAACACCAGATGGTGTGGTGGTTTTAGGTCAATCAGGCCTATTGGCTGGAAAACCAGGTCCGTGAGTTCTCTTTCCACATAGTCTGTGAAGACTTGCATCATGGTCTGAGTAACTGACAGACCCAAGTCTGCCATTACTTCCCTCGATCTGGCTTCATGATTCTGTAGGTCTGGGACAACATTACAACAGAGTTTACATATCTGAGTTTCAAAGGACAACAGTGATAGTCCAACTTCTACACAATAAGACAATATGTACTTCTACACTTATTGCACTTTTAGACTAGTAGGTATCAGAATTATAGAATGAAAAAGATAAGGTGGTACATTTTAAAATGAGTAGCTTGGTAATCTTAATTTAGAATTATTTTGCAAGAGTAGCTCATATACATGTACATATAATTATGGCATAAATTTTTATATTACCTAATTGTCAGTGACATGACCTAGAATTGATTGGTTTACAGTGAGTTACATTTACATGTAGGTGTGCCTTTTTTTAGAGGGAAAATTAGCTTACTGGTCATGGCCCTGTGCTTGCGCATGATGACATTGGTGGTGAAGTCAGCATCACGAAATGTGATGTTGGTAGACCACTCTTGTCTGCAGCTGCAGTAAGACGACAATTACCCTGTTAACTACATTTACATCTAATGCAACATGTCAATGTATTTTTGTTGTAAGGGTGATGTCCACGGAAACTCGACTTTTATAATAAATGTGCAACAACTTGCATGCAATGAGATAAAAGTGGGATTATTGGTTGATGCACATTCAAACCGAACAGGAAAATGTAATTCAAAAACTTTAAGGAAACTTACTCAGCTGCCAGTTTGTTGCCGAGCTCTGTAGGCAGCGCTGCCTCATCGAACTTGACCTTTCGCTGGGCATACATCAAGATACTTGATTTCAGAGTCAAGGATTACATTAGAGTAACATAGTACCATGATAAGGATCTGATATCTTAAGCATGATAGCCTTGTCTGTTTTTGAATAACACAATATAATGAGCCTTGAATAACTCAGAGAGAAAGGGAAAGTTAGGTCATACTAAAAATTTAGCCAAAACTGTTTCTTCCGGCTTCCAAGTGTCATAAAACATAGAAGTCTTCTTGCTACGTTGCTCAATTGGAGACCAAAGTCAAATTCCTAACCTTGTGCTGAAGGCCTTTATAACAAGTAAATATTATTACTCAAAACGCAATATTGTGAAAAAATCATTATGATATAGCTATGCCTGTATGATATTTGAAAATTTGCTGACAGTCGTTATAATGATCAACAGTCAAGATCTAGACTATCTAGACAGTTTTGTCCACATCGGAACAATTTGCCAAAGATTGGGCTTCAATAAAGGAGGTTTTACAGTCCTAAAAACCTTATGGAGGCTAAGGAAAGAACTATAAATGATGTGTTATGAAGGATATTGGGCTTAATCTCCCCGGAGTTGATCGCATCCAGCAACTTGGCCATAGCATTTTTTGCCTCCTCCTTTGTTTCAAGGTGGAAAGAGCCATCTCCTTTAAGCACAGTTCTACAACACAAAAGAACAGTGTGTGAAATTACAGTTCAAAATTGTATTATAACAAATTTAAACAACAGTGTAACCATTATGGCGATTCCTACTACATTGTATTGTCTAGGTATGTAATTACACCGAATTGTACTGCGATATCTATTTTCTTTAATTCAAATTCTTCGTCACCATTTCAATGAAATGCAGTGGCTAATATGAGGATATTAAATATGAGGTTGGTGACTTCATACCTTTGTTTGGGTTGTCAGAAATGTGCTGCTGTATAGAGTTTGACTTTTATTTTACAGGTATGTGAACCAAAGGATGTGTGGGATTCATAAGTCAGACACACGATACACTGCTAGTGGAAAGAGTCACAGTCCTTAGTTCATTGTTTAAGCTCACATTGGGAACATTATGTCCCAAGACAGTACAGAAATATCTGCTCCCCCTCACTATTTTGCTGAAAATCACACTAAATCTCTACTGCCTAAACACCTACATGTACATCCCACTCAAAATTCAAGACCATAGCATGTCCACTGTGCAAAATGTAACCTATGCAACCCAACAGTACCTTAGAGTATCCAAAATTGACCTCGACCTTCCTTTTACCAACCTCATCCTTACCAAATGTCATATGGATACATGCACCACATCCAAAGGTATAACTGATTACAAAATCAGCAATCCCTGTGGTGTACCAAAACATATATTAACCTTCTGACAATGGTGAAAATTGTACCCTTGACATGAAAGAAATTACAATATCGGTTTTGACAGTTACAATGTACTTACAGCGATTCTTTCTCCGAGTCAGGGAGAAGGCATATGACATTGTCATCCAGTACCACCACCTTCAGGAGGAAGTCTACGTCGTCATCCGAATAAGTTTCCCCGCAAGTGATGGACACTTTCCTCACAGTCTTTATTGTGGATTTCTGCAAAGGCAAATGAATTAGAATCTGTTGTAGTAACAGTTCAGCAGTAACCGAAATGAATGCACAATTTCAATGGAATAAAGTCTACTAAAATGAACTAGAGTCACAAAAATTTATTGCCTTTTTCTTATCAAACTTTCGGACCAAATTTTAGTTATTTTTTAAATTACATTCAAGGCTTGTGTGATCGTTTTTTTCTTTAGAAAACAACTTTCCAAGTTCCGACTCTCATCTTTATTGGAGCAACATGCTCATTCAAATAAATGACACACTGACACATAAAGAAAGATATCAATGGTTTTTGGGGGAAATAACAAGCTAACGAGTCAAGGGAGGGGTTCCTCCGGAGGAGCGACATTACCCTGGATTGATGATGATGATGAACAAGCTAACATCAGCCGAATCACTTTGGATTTATCATCTATGAAGGGCACAAACACACAATAACTCACTGAACTGTAATCTCTTGTCAACGGTCTAGAATTATTAAAAAAAAATGATTGGCCATATCTACCTCGAAGTCATTCACTGAGAGCAGTAACACCTCAGGAAGGTGTATAGTTTTACCGTACTTCAAAATAGTGCCTTCCGCTGGGAAAAGAAAAAAAATCCAATCAGAGACATGAAAAAGCACATTTGGAGGCCAATGTGGAAATTTTGGTTACAGAGTTTTTAGGAGCAAATTACATAGGAAAAAGAACTATAGCAGGCTGCAACTATATGAAATATTCATTCACCCAAAATCTTGTGCTTGTAGAATAATTCAGCTCAGTTGAAGTCACAATCAAAAATCACCAATACACACAGTCAATGGACCCTTTGCATTGGGTTACTACAGTAATAAATGTTACTTACAATTTCTCAGCATGCCGTTGTCAAACTGCCTTGTTATTTTTGCTGATGGTTGTATGTTGAATCCATACGTGGATACATGTACAACCGTTGTTAAGTTGGCTAACTATGCAAATAGCTCCTGAACACAACAGAGCTACATTTACACATACTTATAAATAAATACAAAGATGGCAGACAAAATGAAGTGAGCTAGATAGGCTGACATTTCCTCAGGAGCAAATACAGAATATTTTAGTCCACTTATATATTCCCTCCCCATTCCAAGATGGACTGTTCCATATACTATTAGACACTTCCAGTATCAAGTGTTTCAATTCCCTTTAGTTCATAACAATTGTTCTCGAAACCCCCATTAGGTGATTTTCAGTGTTTAGAAACCCCATGTAGTTCTTTTCGGTAACAAATATTCTCCAAAACCCGAATAAGAGATTTTAGTAAAAGTGTTCTTGCGGAGTAGGGGCAGGTAGGACTTGGGCAGCTCCAAACCTTCATTGCGATTCATCCCGGCACGTTCAAGCTGGATGTGGACTGCTTCCTTAATCTTTCTATGTGACTAATCCATATATGACTTTCTATGTGACAAGTCTTGTGTTCTCGCGAGACTAGGTCATTCCGTGACCAAGGTGTACAGGCGACACCGAAAATTTGGAGAGTTACCTTTAAAAGTTGCATTTTTCACAGTTTTAGGAGGTGTATGCCAAACATGTGAATTATTCCATGATCATTCTGTGTCTAAGTCTCCATACCAAATTTCTGTTGTCATGTATTTTGTTTCTAATGTTAAGGCACAAATGGCCGAAAATATACATCATACAAGGACATTTAATATAAAAGGATATCATCATTGCCCTCAGACTTCTCCGGATTTCCCCGGAGCAATATCCGAATCAACCCTGGCAGTTGTATGTCCTGTTAGGTAGAAGGGGAAAAAAGAAAATAATATTAAGGGAAACAAAAATGATGATCATTGTAACATCTCATCAGAAACAAAATCAAGTCAACATTCTTAATGCAACTGCACTTTTGCTCTTGCGAAGGAACTCCGCCTTGGACAGTATATTGCAACATAAATCTAAGTCAAAGTCCACATTCAGTCACTTGCTTCTTCACTAATATTACAAGATTCCTACCTCTGGGAGATTTTCCAGCTGCTTGACAATCTCTTCTAAGGTCATGGCGACTGTCTGGACCTTGCCATTCAGGAACATCAGTCCTAAAAGGCAATTTGCCATTGCCATCTGCTGGAGACGCCTGTCTTTTGAGGTGAAAGCCAGGGCCTAATTATAGAAAATAAGCAAATTGCATTTAAGTTAATAGCAATACTCCCCAATCAGAGGTTCATGGGGAAGATTAATTTGTTACCTTTTAATATACCCCATTTTTTTTATTGCCACCCTTGGTGGGGGTTGCAAGTGATAGAAAAAAACGGGGCATATTAAAAATGCAACGATCTTTCCCACCAACCTCTACTTGGAGAGTATAAAATGACATGTAATAACAGGATGCACTATCAGCATTCTGAATTGGTTCTTTGCTGACACTGTCGTCAAAGATGGTCTAATTTACTTACACTTGTCATTCCCTCCAGCAGACATTTGTCAGACTGGCTAAATGTGGCTGGGTCGTTTGTCTGAGAAGCCTCAACTTGGGCAGCTGCCAAGGCTTCAACAAGACCAGGAACAGTTGTAAGCAGCTGCATGGCTACTTCGAAGTTATTTTTGAGAGGGTACCCTATAAAATAGAGATATCACAATCATTAAAATTATATTGTGTTATAAATCCTGTCCTAAAGAAAAAAAATTAGCTTGAGAGAATTGGCTTATTTAGGATAATAAAGTGCCCAATGATAAACATTATTGTACTACAAGTATTACTCAAGATAGGTGTTTCAACTTGACCCACTTTGTAGCGCTGGTGTCTTTTTCATCCCCTTGACCATCTCTTCCAGCTTCTGTGCAGATGTCTACAATGAAGTTACATTTGATTAAAAACAAGTCAAAGGTAAACATTTTTAAAGAGTGCTGTATTTTAAACCGCATAATGTCATCGTTAAGTCATCCTCATCAGAGGTCAAACATCATGCTTTTTTAAGTAGCTATGCTTGTGCAATAAGCTCATGCCTTCCCTATGGCTCTTGTATTAATTAAGGGGGAAATGATATAAAACACTTTGTGACTAATAAGAGATGGGCATTCATCAAGCCTCCATCTGGGTGAATTGAACTTCAAAACAGTACCATCAGTATGGAGGCTTCATTACATGTGTGGGGTGTGGTTCTCACCAAACACATGACCTCCATTTAATGTCCTGTCCGAGGGAAGTCCCTATCTAAACCAAAGCTAGGTACTCATTTTCACCTGAATGAAGTGAAATGAAGATAGTCGTGTCAAGTGCATGCCTTTCCCAACGGCACAAGGTCGGTGAAATGCAGGATTATTCCAACCCAGGCATCCTACCATTGCACCACACAACCCACACAAAAACAGTAGTAAAATGATAATGAAATGTTGTAGTGACTGCACAGAGTTTAACAATGTACATACCACAGACACTGGTTTCACAGGTGTCGCGCCTCCTGATCGGGATACTGTATCCTTCATCCTAATTGCGGTTTGTTGGGCTGAACCCTTAGCTGAATGCTGTCCTCCGCTATCCTCTGTCGTATCTAAGGGAAAGGCATTAAAGATATCTGGCTATTATACACTCCCTTTACGGAGCATTTATTGTTTCAGTCAAGTAAGTGGTATATACACATTGTACATACCTTCCAAATTTTCAACGGCTGACTGTTCGGCCGTCTTGGTCACGGAAATCCTAGTCTCGTGTGCTTTCACGAGACTAGGATTTCCGTGACAAGACGTACAGTCAGCCGTCAAAAATTTGGAAGGTATGTATATACCACTGATTTATGTCACTGATAGAAAGAAAATCTTACTTGACTTATCTATGTGTGACCGGTGAATCGCTTCAACAACATTTATTGGTTGATTTGTGCTTGCCACTACTTGCCTTTTGTAGACTTAATTACATGTACCTTCAGAACCTTCCATATTCTGCTGTACTGTGGCCACCTGCTGGCGTGTGGTAGTTGTGGTACTTGTTGCTGGCTCAGGCACATCCATCGATGCAGTCATGGACATCAGTCCAATATAGACTCTGAGCTTCACTGTTTCTACAGTAGCCCTCGACTTCTTGCTTGCGGACGTCTCATACTCGCCTTTAAGCCACTGTTGAGTTAAAAGTACATCTCATTAGGTTGATAAAGTCATGACAAACACAATTTTGACATTTTGAGAAAAATGCTATGAGTTGTCATTACTATATTCATTCACCACATGTATTTCAAGTTACATGTATTATGTGATACCAAAGGTAATGTAAAAAAAGGAACTTAGTTGTGTACCATGGCATTCTTTTCTTCCTTTGTATTTAGCACCTGGTACTCACTCCTCCTGCCCGACTTCATGAGGAAATGGAAGTTGTATCCCTCTGTGATGCCAGGCCGAACTGCCTCCAGGGAGGTCTTGATAGCAGATATGATAAGGTCCTCAGACTCAGTTCCCTCCAGAGTCAAGTGTGTTCCAAAGGAAACTGCAAAGAGTGAAAAAATACAATGATATAAATCCCAGCTTACCAACAAGGGATTTACATTGTGCATTCATCATAAACCGTTGAGCTAATTTTTTTTCCTGTTATGACTACCAGTTTTTGATCAGACACTGCCACAGTGCGTGGGGGAAGAAGAAAACTTAAAACAGTATTTATGTGCTGCTACCTCTGGTTCTTTTTTGGGCAGGTTTGAGGTATTTTTCTGCAGGGATGTTTATTAAGCCATGAACTATTTTATACAAAGTTGTCAATCAGGCATCCCGCCTCCTAGTGACAGAGGTGGCCATCTCAGGCTTTCAAGCATTTGTGTAACACTACTTTTTGTCTGTAATCATTGACAATCATGCAAGCTGCTCTGCGCTGGACTTGAGCCCCACTAACGGTATAGGGATCCCACACTACTGTTTGGTTCAATTGGTTCAACTGCGAATCTAATGATTCTTACTGTATAACTTCTGAGAAGGAAATCATGTAATGGGAGAATATGGGAGTTTCTGCTGGCTGATTATGGCCACATGGAAATTGTAGGACAAGAATCCAGTGGAACTAATTCTATCCAGACACAGCAGTTAAGTCTTCCAAGCACATCCTCATCAAGCACCGGTCCCATGTATTCAGGAAGTGACAGAGGCACTTGTTAACTTGTCCCATATATTATAATAATCTGAAGTTATATTACGTGTATACATTTGCTGATTGGGTAGCCATATTTTCGTAAGGTCAACAGTAGTTTATGTAATATTGCAGGATGCCATTATGAATTCTCTGCAAACAGTACTGTTACTCTCCAAGCAGAAAAGAGAAAAAAGAGAAACCCCGATAAAAAAGCCTAAAAACATGTTAGAAATACACCCAAAACCCAAACCTGTGCTTGGAGAGTACAAACAGTCTCAATCTAAACTTTGAGCCATGACAAGATGATTGAGTTTTTTTAACATCCACAAAAATAACCCTTTCTATAATTAGTAATTAGTGGGGAAGAGATGCACATGGGCAAAAAAGAAGCCAGAGGTCGGAGGGAGGGGGGCATTTCAGCAAAGAACTTGATAACAATTTGCAAGGTCATTAACTGATAGTTTCTTGTTCCAATTTGCTGCGTGGAGCAGCCCTCTATGGACCTTTATTTCCTGATTGAACCCCCCCTGTTCTATTTCGAACACCTCCGTCAAACTCGGTGCAGGAAGGGTCAAGAGTGTATTAAAATGCATGGATGCTCCCTCTTGTTTTAACAGTGAGACTAAATATATGACATCGGATGCACTTTCAACTGAATCCTTTGGTTGTCTGTCAGTATTGCATTGTAGGTGTTGGCTTGCTGATGTTCAGTCTGCATGTATCACAAAGACCCTAAACGTTTCTCTATAAGTTCCCCACATCCTCTATGAGTACCCAAGCTGTAACAAGGTTTCCCTCAGAAATGGGGTCTGGCTAGCCTGGGTTCCAGACCCATAGTACACTGGACACAAAATATCTCAGTGAGCCAGGCTCACTGAGATATTTTAGCCTGGATGCCAGACCCAAAGCACACTGGACACAAAATATCTCAGTGTGCCAGGCTCACTGAGATATTTGTGTCCAGTGTGCAGTGTGCTATGGATCTGGAACCCAGGCTAAGATATTTTGGTGTCCAGTGTGCTATGCGTCTGGAACCCAGGCTAGGTCTAGCTTGCTGGTGCCAGATGAATTACTTTGTAGCCCAAAACTTGAATTTGCCTTTCTTCAAAGCACTCCAAGTTTTCTATTGAAAAGGGGGGAGGGGGTTTGCTAGTTACCAGAATGTAGAGAACAATCATGAATTTTCATCTTCTGATGATTTTCCGATGGTGAGCTTTCCACAGCAGGTGGAAGTACTGGACACCGGAGCAGACAAGTTAGAGCCGAGGTTGTCAGAAAGAATGTGGGACTAGGTATTGAGGACGATAATGATTAGAAGGCTCCTATCTTTTTTACTAAGCAATGGTCGATCTGTGTTGACTATGTTAGAAGACCTGTTTGTTACACAAACAGGAATCCTGAGACTGAATGCATGTCTGTCAATAATTAAGCTGTACCACACCAATTTCATGGTAGCATTACAGAAAAATGTGGCCTTTTTTTTACCTGTAGGATAGATAAGCAGTTACAATATTTATATATCCTTTTACTTTTTTTGTAAATGGTTGTTCCTCCATATTTGAAATTCTTGTCAAAGTACAGAAAAGTCATTTGAAAATTACCACACATATCTGACCCAGATTAATGTGATAACGTCATAGCAACTTTCTGTAGAAGAAAACAGCATACTTGAGAAAGACTTAGTTGTATCTAGATTTCAAGGCACTTCCTCTTGTAACATTTTTTTCATCTAGTATAAAAAGCTAACTAGGAATGGAAGTATTTGCGTATGTAATTGGCTTTGTTGAGACCCCATTTGGGAACACCATATGGATAACACATTTTGCTCTGTAGTAGAAAGATAAAGATCTCGATCCAGGCAACAATTTCATGGTACACATGTACATCTGTGGATAGGTTTCACTTTCCTGAAGACATGGCTTTACTCTGTAGGGAATTTGTGACCAACAAACAGATTACAAGATCCTTGTTCTCAGAATTTTCTGTGGACCTAAACAGCCTGGCACCCAGGGTGAAGACATGATGACATGTTTTTGCATAATGAAAAAAAACTATATCAAGACAAAAGCACCATTTTTTTTACTTTTTACATTTTTGTTTACTTTTTACATCTTGCGTTGTAAGTTAGGACACCAATCTCCCTTTCCCTCAGTTCTCTTTGCACCCTGGCCCTGCTATGAGAGATTTGAAAGAAAGATCCCTCACACTGCACTACAGTTAACGAAAATCATTTCAGTGCTTTATCTCAAGCACTCGGAGCTACGGCTCGAACACTTGAGTTCGACTTGCTTTACCTTTACCTTAGACACTGAACACTCAGTGAACAGTGACCATAAGACTTAATGTAATTCCAAGAAATTGATCTAAATCCGTAGAAATATTATAACCTCTTTTCAGTAATGTAGGACAAATCGCTTGACAGGGCTGAAACAACCTTACCAAAAACTTCATGCACATGAAAAAGTTGAAATCTTTCTGTTTGGGTCACAATACTAAAAATGCTGATAGTTTCACAAATCATTTGTTGTGCCACACTGGAATATTACGTCATCATTAATTTTTAAACTAAATAAAAATTCTCAATTTCTAATTTTTTGTGGTCCATAAGGAAGGACAAAACCAAGAGGTCAATGATCTTATCTGACTATGAAAATGGGAATTAAAAATGCTACATTCAATCACAAAATGACACTCTACACGCCAATTTACTTTCCTGTCAATTCCTCAGCAGTTAGGGAGAAAAATTCCTGACATGTAGTTTGAAAATGCACTTTGAGAATAAAACACTATCCAAACATAAATCATATATCTGAATATTACTAACATATATTATCTTTAGTTGGCACAGGGCAGTGGGTTCTAATGTACATGTAGTGGGGTGAGAGGCTGGAGACAAAATAAAAAGATATTTGTGGGCATCAAGTTTATTGTCAGTACACAGAGAAATAGAAAAAGCGCCTCATTATTTTACAAAAAAATTGATTCAGGTATAATTTACAGGATTCAGATTAGTGTACCCTTGTGTGCCTAAAATTGGAGCTGTGCACCTAATTTTTGCACCTAGAGTAGACTTTTTTTCGGTTACAGTAAAAGTACAATACACTGTACTTCCAATCAAAAAAAATATTTTTAAAAACCTTTGGTGTATTACTTGTTTGAAATTTTGTAGATGGAACTTAAAATTACAAGAGGAGAATTAATTTGGCGTTGCTAATGTTCTACTTTAATTTTACGTTGTGCGCCTAATTGTTTTGGTTTGAGTGCACTAGCCTGTGTGCCAAACCCATAGCACACTGGACACAAAGTATCTCAGTGGGCCTGAACAGACAGCGCGGAAAGTATTAATTTTTCTGTTCGCACCTGCAAGTATTTTATAAGTTGTTTATTACAGACAAAATCCAACAACCCGGAAAGTTCCATGGAAGAAGAGAGCTGATGGCTGTGGAAGTTACAACTATCACACAGGCTCTCAAAGTCAAACAGCCTCTGTAGCTGTCCAGGTCCTGTGAGCACCTCTGTGGAGGTTGCATTACTCTAGAACTGTGGTCCCAAGTACTAGATAAAGGAGAAATACAGATGCTACAGATTTCTCAATAAAATGACATCATGCAATTTGATTCTTGAATTAACTATCATGTTACCTCAACTACTGATCTCAATCTACTTTAACTCTTCCAAAACAACACCAATACCAGCAAACATTCAAATGCAACATCCTAAGAACTGTCCAATAATACCGGGCAATATAGCAATGTTAATTTGTCCACTCTGAAAGTCACTACCGACCATCTGACTATCGGAGCAGACTTAAACTAACCAGGATGGTATCAAGGCTAATGTCCATAAGAAATAAATTGAAAATTGACTTCTTCAGCACAGGCAAAAACCTGCTAAAAATTTGTGTGGATGAAAAAAGAGAAGCCAGGAGGAATGCAGCAATTTCACGGACATTAGTACCATAACCAGGAATCTGGGTCAGAGACTAGTAGTATGTGTGGTAATTTTCAAATGACCACATGTACTTTGGCAGGAATTTCAAATCTGGGGGAACAACCATTTACAAAAAAGTACAATTATATATAAATATTATAATATGTTAGTCCCACATGCTGTCCAATGATGTCACTAGTGAAGTATGTCTGCTTACATGTTTGTGTCCTACAGGTCAACAAAAGGCCACATTTTTCTGTAATGCTACCATGAAATTGGTGTGGTACAGCTTAATCATTGACAGACATGCATTCAGTCTCAGGATTCCTGTTTGTGTAAAAACATCTCTATCTCAGTAAATAATTATACTCATTAGAAGTGTAAATGTCAGTTATGGTAGTTTTCCAGTTTTAATACATGTACATGATTATAGGATGCTACAAATTAACTCTATTATAAGCTACACCTGATGTCCTAGCAGCTTGCCACCTGTGGGTCACTGTGACCCTGTAATTGATTCAAGTCACCCTGTCACCCTGTCACTGATAGGTTCCTCTTTGTACTTGACAGTGTTAGACAAGCCCAAAGTTCTTTCCATGTTTTCTATGTTTAAGGTAATATCAGTCATGGTTGATAAATGTTGATGGTGGATAAAGGATGGTCTACTAGTAGTCTGGTACATAATTTATTGCAACTTCCAAAGATGTAGGTGTGTATAGACATTTTTACAATACAGCAATATTATATTCCATAAGGAACATTGTTTATTTTTATGATGTCAGAATATATCACTGTGCTGAATAGAAACCAAAAGAAGTTACCTATCCTCTTTGGCTTACAGTTAGCAGATGTCATTTAATCTCTTGGGACACAACACACTTTGGTAGTGGTACAGTAAATTGGTCATTGCTTACAGGGTAAAGTCAAATTAAATCTACATACCATGTATGTATACTTTAAATTGACAATGAAGTAAGTAGTTTAGCATGGAAGTCCTTCAAAGACGGATATGAATGTCTTTGAAATTCACGCGCAAAAAAGACAAAATTTTGCGCGTGGACAGTTCACGCGCAAAATAGGTTAAAATTTGCGCGTGAATATGTAACTTTAAATGTTGCCATTGAGTGGCTCAAAGTAATCTAAATGAACACTATAGGTCTTATACTTAGTTATAGGATTGCAGCAATTAAGCTTTATAGCTATAAAAATACTTGAATCAAATAAGCTGGAAGCTCATTTGCATAAACATGTTATGCAAAAAAATGTGTATTTTTTGGTATCTAGGCATCAAAATCATGAATTTTTGACAAGTACCTGATTTGCATATTTCTATGTGCAAATTTCTTGTAATCAAATTTTCACGCGCAAATTTTTCACGCGCGCGCAAATTTTTCACGCGCAGAAAACCCGTTCCCAAAACACGCGTTCATACAGCCGTTTAGTTTTTGACTTGGTACTCTTTTAGGGGGTTCACTCGGAGTAATACATGAATGAGACCATAACTTAAGTTCTAGGGTCGGCCAAACTCCCTGGCTCAACTGGCTGCAGAAGGAAAACGGCTATGTCCTTCCCACAGTGTGAGTGGTTCAGTTACACAAGTTAAAGTGAAGAACAAGGTATGGGCACAAAGTAAATACTGAAATAGTCTTCAGTTTACAGATTTTATGGTATCATGAACAACTATAATCAAAGCTCTTAGCTTCTCTCTTACTTACACGCTTTTGAAAGAGCAAAATAGTGACAATGATTAAAATTGTATTTTGGTTGAAGATTGAAAAGGGCCTACTAGCTCTAGACTTGTCATGTAACCACTTTCTGGATGACATTACCGGGTAGTTCCACTATCTCCTCAAAGTGCTAGATACCCAGCCAGTGCAACATCCATATGGCCATAATCCCCCATGAAATTTCTGCATTCCTCCCACACAGCATGAAAACACATCATAGGGGCCAGTCTGAATTTTTTTCTTGTCAACTTTCTTTGACATAATATCATCATTGTCATGTGCCGAATCATACCCTGGAGGTTTTTAAAAAATCTTGGCCCTTGAAATGCTAATTTGTGCATTTTGAGGGTCAAATTTTGTTTGATGCAAAATTACACAAGAGTTTCATCTTGATTTTTTTTGGAGGCCGTCTGTATCTGTCAAAGATGGTGGAGTGGGCAAAATTTTTGTCAGTAATGACTGGGAAAATTTGGCGAGAAGTTAGAACACAGTCATATAGAAATCCTGACATAATGTTCCGATGGAATAATGCTACCCATTGTCCACCATCAGGCCTGTCCTACTTAGTCCATGTACATGTACCATGTAGATGACATAATTATCCAATTGATGAACTTTCTTTTGGTACATTCATTGTCAAGTAGGGTTAATGAATTCAACACATTCATCAAGTTGCTGTATGTTTGTTGTATAAATTGTACCCAAGTGAAGATTATTTCTACACCATTGACCAATGAAAATTCTTCCTGGAAAGTGACTGGGCAATGTGACAATAATTGATACTTGAGTTTATGAAATGCCCGTTTTTGCTTCAACAAGTTCAAGTAAATACCATGTATAGGTAGATAAGTGTGTCCCGTGATATGACTTTTCTGATTTTTAAAAAAAATTCCTGGTTTGATGGTCCCTTCCCTTCCCAGAACAAAAAGACTCCAGAACTCGTTCCTACATCAGTCTATCAGACTATACAACCAGACTGTGTAAACGTGTCATATCTGGGATGCCCTGTTGATTTAATGTATATATTTTAATAGTATGTATATATGTGTAATATATGTTATGTACTTATCTTGCTGTTGTTGCTGTAAATACCAATGCCATTCAGGCAACACATATTTTTGTATGTCTGCAACGTTGGTATGAAATAAAGAATTGAATAGCTTAATTTGCATATCATAGTTAAATTTGCATATCCTCACATGAGACCTGAACATTCAAAGATCTTTAAATATGTCAAAAATTCAAGGAAAAGTTACAAGTGCAAAGTTTTATACCATAAAATGTAACAACTTGAGGCTTTTTCCATTCTGTAAGCATCTTTTTTCTCAAGCATATTCTTTCACGCGCAAATTTCAAACTTTTTCACGCGCAAAAAAGGTTAAAAT